GTTTAAAATATAAAAGTTATTACAAAGAGCTTACCGGACATTTTCTGGCCTCAATTTATCCAGCACCATCTCTATTAAATCAGGCCTAAATTCTTCAAGTAAATATTCAGCAGCAAGCACTTCTTCTATAGGATAATACTAAAAATACATAATAATAATAAAATAAAAATAAAACATTTTTGACTAGAAAACATTTTAAATAAAACAAAGCCTTATTGCATTAAGCTAAAAAGATAGCATTTAATAGTAATTATTATGAAGAACAGAGAGCTTTTATATTAGGTTCTGAATACATTATTATATGGTCATCTAAAAAGCCATCCACCCTAACTCCAGTAGTTATTAATATAAAATTAAGTAAAAATAATATGTAAAATAGTGACCCCTGGAGGATATTTTTAACGTTAAAAACAGGAAATAGTAAGTGTACACAGACTCTCAAGAATTCAAGTTTCAGAACTCTAAAATGATCCTTATAACTGTAATTTAGCCAATTTTTCAAAGGAAAGAACGTTTCCAGTATCTAAGAACACAATATATATATTGTTTCAGTAATTTGGGGTTTTCAAATATTTCTTTAGAACTCCAAATTATATGATCATTTTCCTTAAGATACTACCATGTAAGCTGGATTTATAGAAAAGTATATTTTTGGACTGTGTGTTCAATGGGCACAAAGGGACGTAGAAATTGCAACCTCTGCAGGCAGCGATGGTGGAGTTAGGATTCAAACTGGGGAATGCAAGCAAGCTATTGCAAGGATTCCACCAGGTAACAGCGTGACCCACTCGTAAGCATGTGTTACTGGTCTGCATCTGCGCCTATTCACAGAGCATAGGAGTTGCTACTCTCCCCACATACAGAGACTTAGCTCTTTAGCTTAAGCTGTAGTAGCACACGTGTTTAGGTCTGAGATCCCCCATTCAGTCCCTGGTGTGTATGCCAAAGGAGTGACAATGGCACCTGTACTTTCTTGCTGGGGTCTCTATCATTGCCTAATGATGGAAACTGCCTGGGGGAGCTACTCAAATCAGTGCATCTCCTAGACAGCTTCGCTATGGCTGTGCTGTCTGTCTAGCTGGACCTTCCTAGTGAAAGTATAAAATAGCACATCAGATTTCAGTCTCAGATACACAGTGTGCATTGCTCTTCCATCTATACAGGTATTTTTATAGTTCTAATTACCATAATATCCGCGTGCTACATTTGAAATTATAATTTGAATCTCTGTCCTTCTTCTGAATCCTGCAGGACAACTAGCTTGATTGACTGTATGTTTGGGGGATTATATGTATATTGGTGTGTGAGAGCAAAAGACTGCTTATCTGGAAAAATCATATATTGATTTTTTGAGATATGCTGCAAATTGAATCTGGCTCAGCATAGCAAAAGCAGTCACATACCACTCCCTAGCTGCACAGGTACATTGGTTTCAGGCACCCGGAGCAGCCAGCTGAGAGGTAAATCACCGCAGGGCTGGGGACACCCAAGACAGTGGGCTCCTACTCCGAGCCGGGATCAGCTGCTAATCCCAGCTGGGCTGGAGGCAGGAGGATGGGACTTCCTCTTCCTCTTCCCCTGCAAGGAATGGCAGGGGCTGTGTCAGACCAACCCCCAGAAACCTCCTCCAGCTACACGAAGCTTAGCATCATCCCCTGCTTCCTGCCCTCATCACTCCTCAGCTGTGGAAGGAGGGGTCACTGTACAGGGAGCTGCTCCCCCATCTGCCTAACCCCCATGCATCTGGACCTCTCATATCCGGACAACCCCGCCAAGCCTCACCCTGTACACCCAGAACCCCCCTAGTCCTCCAAACCTGAACCCCACCCCATTGAACCTCAATCCCTGCATCTGGAGCCCCCTAAACCCAGACCCTGTCTCTGCACCCCCACCCCTGCACCAATACCACCCCCCCGAAGCTCCCTGCACTCAAACCTCAGCTCTGATGAGCTCCATGCCCCTGCACCACCCTGAGCCCCCACATCCAGACCCCCATGCCACTGACCCCCAACTAGCTGCACCCAGATCCCCATCCCACCAAGCCCCACTCCCCCAGCACCCAGATCCCTCTGCTGAGCCCCAACCACTTTCCCCTGGAAGCCCCTGCAGGGTCCCATTGCCCCTGCACCTGGAGCCCCCACCCCCCAAATGAGCCTCTATGCATCCAGATCCCCCCACACTTAGACCCCTCACTGAACTGCCTGCACACAGATTGTCCCACACAGAATCCTCTCACCCCACACCTGGATCTCCCCACAATGAGCCCCTCCACACATGGACCCTGCCTGGTTGAGCCTGCCTGCCTCAAACCTAGTGCGCCTGGCACAGAGGTGCCAGGGTACAAGGCCCCAGGGTGTTTCTGGGGCAGGCCCAGGCCTTGTGCTATGTCAGGGACTCAGTGGTAAGGCTGCACCCACCCATGTCCCTGGGATGTGGGGCGGGGAGGCTGCAGGGTGATCTCCCACCTTTGTGCACTGCCATGCTGGAGCCTCTGCATTTATTTATTGACAAAACTTGCAGAATTTTACAATATTGTGCACATAATTTTTAGGCGCATAATTTTTATTTTTTTGGCACAGAATACCCTCAAGAGTAACTAGAGTATGTCTTGTGAAGGAACATAAAGAGCTCTAAGTACCCACTTTACAAACATCTAGTAGGGATAATGACATCCTACATCTAGTAGGGGTGTGTCCTTCAGGGATGCAGCTGAAATTGCTTGCCCTCTGGTGGAATGGGCCCTCGCCCCCTCCGGAAGGAAGGACCCAGGCCCACCCACTACTCTGGGTCCCAGCTCAGGGATGCTAAGAATACCACCTACATTGCCTTCTCCATCAGATATTTTCTAAGTCTCTGTTCCCAACCCCCAAGTTCAACTGGGGGGGCAGGAAGTGAAAGGGGAGGGAAAAGAGTGGCAGATGCAGCACCTGGCAGAGATGTGAACCTTGCCTAGGCAGCAGAGGCAACGTTGATTTTTTTTTTTTTTTTTTTCCTGTGAGCAACAAACAGGAAAGAGTGAGGGCAGAAAAACACGTTTTTTGGACTCTGGGCATAACCCCAGACTTTTTTTTGTATGTGGGTGGGGAGGTTGAATTCCCCAGGTGGGGAAGAAATGGGGTAAAAATACTAAGTATACTATGCTACACTATACCATAAAAATTACTAAACTTCTGCAGCAGACAGGAGGTGAGGACACCAAAAAGATTCCAACTCAGACCCTGCGGCGGAAAGAAGAAAGTGGAGAGGCATCTTCCCACACCAGCCTTTATGCCCTTGGTTTGGAGCACAAGGAGAACTACAGTGCATGTGAGGGGCAACTGACACTGCTTGTAAAAAGATTCCAGACTCAGGTGCATGGCACATATGCATACCCATGTGTGGAATACACATAGAGACCATCACCTGTAGAAGAACATCATATTTATTTCCATTCAGATATTGCCCAAAATACAAATGCTTTACTTACATGCAAAATCCCTCCAAGCTTTGATGTATAACCTCGTGGTCGTTCTTTATCTTTGAATCTGAAAGCCACAGCATTTAGATCCTAAAAGAAAAAATTAAATCAAATTATGCATGGGAAAGCCATTTTCTACTTTGTAAGAATAAAAAAAGTTTACTTAATACATTTTACACTCAAGATCAAATTAGGCATTTGGTCAAATAAATAAAGGACTGGACATTTGATCAACTGCCCGTCAGTTGCTTACCAATTTAAATAACCAAATGAATCACTGTATTACCCTTTCTTGTACACGATCATATACAAAAAAACAGCTATCATCCAATAAGTGAAAATCCCCTGTGATTTTATATCACTAGGTGACTACTTCTTTAGACAGTAATCCAGGGATATCAGCTATTACATTCAAATGCTTCAAAAAGTAGCTCAGCTTAAGAAGGACAAAGGGCAGAAAGCTGGCAAGATCAAAGGCTTGTAGCTGCCACGTAGAGCTGACTAGGAAGGATATGCTCCCAAGCCAGCTCTGAGACTCCTCTCTCCTTAAATCCTCCCCGATTTACAGATGGGGGTTTTGCAGCTCTTAGGTCCTAAGCAATAACATTTAATAAATCCATGACCACCAGAAGAAGATTCTTGTTGCACAACTTCTCTTACAGACAAAGCCTGATCAGGATTTACATCAATTTCTTACTACTAGGGGCACATGTTAAACATTCAAAACTGGCTATAACAAATATTCCCTCCGTTCGTCTTAGAAGACCTAGAGTACAACGTATTGTTGACTTTTGTCTATGTCTGAAACTTTTGTCTGTGTTTGAAACACTCTCCTCTCACTTACACAAGTGCTTTAGTACCTATACAGCTAAGGTATACATACATATGATCTCCTTCATTACCAGAAAACCATTTTGATTTAACTTATCAATTTTCTGAATTATCCTCTCCCCCAAAAAATGATAAAAATCTGATTTGATATCCTTTTTTTGTAAGATGGTACATCTCCTGCAGCTGTTTCCAGTTAATTCTTACACAAAGTGTTATATTGTTTATGGAAACTGAGCCTAATATAGCTTTACAAGCCTTAAAAACATTCATGCTCTTTTCTCCTCTTTTCATATATCCAAATTGAAGGAAACTTCATAGCGAAGGGGGGAAAACCAAGCTGTTGATATTTCATGAGCTCTGGCAGCTGTGGGAAGGCTATGCAGGAGAAAGTAAAATTTACACAGCAGGATCTTCAGAAAGGAGGAGCAGCATCGTGGAACTGAAGAAAAATTCTAGAGTAGGGATCAAGACCAGAGGCTGAGTGGGGATAAACTGGAGAGGCTGATGGGGAGAAGAAGAAGGAAGCTGCCTAATTAGCATATGTGAGCAAAGGGTTCGAATGCAACAGGAGCACTACAGACATTTCTTTATCTAAAATAGCACTTTAAAACTTCCATTGCCAAAGTTTTTGAATGAAATATTCAAAAAGTGTTACACTGAACAAGAATAAAGAAACTAATACCTGCACTTTTCCCTTTTTTCTCCTATTCAGTCAGCCAATGGTAGAAACAGAGAGGCAGAAGCCTTTCAGAGCCCCTACACAAGGCATAACAAGGAACTAGGAGGATGAGAAAAGGTTTTCCTGGCGCTGTCTTTAGCCACATGAACTGGAGAAATCTCCCCTGGGAACCATACTACAAAGAGAGTAAAGAGTCATCTCTTTGCAAACACATGGCATGAAGATGGAAGGAATAAAGATGACAACTGTTGCATTGCTGGTCCCTCTACAACAAGATGAAGAGACATAATAGCAGGGGCTGCTGAAAGCCATGCAGTTGAAAAGCAGGGGTCTGATGTGAAGTGGCAATTGAAAGGGAAGAACTTAAAAAATGAATACACTGAAATGGGAGTACTAGTTAGTGTAAAACACCATGTGAGATATACCTATACTCTATAGTTTGTATTTTGGTACAACAGGCAATCCGTGTTTCAAATCATAATACAAATGGTCAATAGTATCATGGTCAAGTGGCTAGTTTGACAGAACATATATTTTGCTTGTAATGGCTAATTCACAGAGTAAGATATATATCTACATAAAAAAAACACACACACACACAAACTTCACACCTAAATAGGAAAAGAGAGAGAGTGAGAGAGAAAAAGAGAAAGGCCTTCCTCAACACTGTAACAGGGGCAAGGTAACTTATTTCTTCTGCTGTTTGAGACTGTCAACAAGGAAAGATTTTTAAGGGACCTTATGGCCATAAACAACAGAACTCCCTAAATAATTTTAGGCAGTACATGTAGCAAAAGTATTCAAACAGAAAATTGATTTTTTTCAGTTGATATTGTCTCTAAATTCCTGCAGACTCTGTGAATCCAGCACTGATGAAAGGAAGAAACTGCAGCTAGGGAGTAGCACAATATGGGAGGACTAGAGCTGATTACATTGCATTTCCTTCCCAAAATGTAGTCCCACAAGTCCTTGGTGAAGACAGAGATCAATTTTTTTTATTTAGTAAGTATCTGGTGAAGCAAATTAACTTTTCTGCAGTGTACAACTATCTATCTGTTATGGAGTTATAGTTTATGGCATTCTGCAGCTTGTAAAACTTTGAAATTTAGAGATGCACATGACTGGATAAGACCCTTAAATAATCATTCTATATCTGATATCATAATTTACATAACAGACTGGAAAGGAGATACCAAGAAGCAATTACTGCTTTCCTGTATTTAGAAGTCATATAAAAATCTATACTGACAGAGGTTTCGCCAAATGAGACAAGTGCTTGAAAATGTTAACATTTGACATTTTAACCAAAAGTTCTGTTTTTTATCTTGTCAAGTAGATAAAGATTTTCTGATTATTCTAAGTGGAAACTATTACTAGTTACTAAGTTTAACAGGATATAACTAAGGCCCTGATCCTGCAACATTTACTTGCATGAGTAACCCGTACATGAGTAGTTCCAGTGAACCAATGGAGCCACTCTTATGAGTAAAGGGTTGTATTACATTTCACATCACCACTGAGAAGTGAAATTTTATTACTGGGTATTAATAAAGCACTTTCAAAGTTTGCTATGTATGCACACACAATCACACAGAACTGGAGTGCACTTTAACAATTAGTTCTGCAGAAGGTACAGGATACAGCTGTACTGCCCAGGAGGAGTCCAATGAAGTAATCTCCTGAGCTCTTGTTCAACAAGGTAACAGAGAATACCAACCCCCTACATGCCTGTGTCAACAGAATTGTGCCAGATGATACATGGGGAAGAAGAAGGTCCTGTCCGTTCCCCACCCACTACCCAACTGTACCAGGTGTCCTGTTCCTGTTTTCCTCCCGCACCTGTAATAGAGCTGGAAGAAGGCCAGGCAAGTGCATTGAGGGGGAGTGTGAAACTTCTCCCGACACCTCTATGCAGCCATAGAAGGTAGGACCACGATCTAGACCACTCATCTGGCTCAGAAATAGCATTTTGTATTTATATTAAAAATATTGGTGTATCAAAGTATAAAGCTCCGCTTTAATTTTTTAATAAATGTTATAGAGTCATGCAAACTGCTTCTGCAGAACTGTAAAAGAAATTCCAATAGGGATTGGACAGCCATGGAATTTGGTTCTCTAACATCCAAATTCTATCTATAAAAACAGATTAAGAGAGAATTGCTACTATAATGTAAAACTACTATACCTTGCACTCTTGGAAAACCCATTCCTGAGGTCCTTCCGTACGAAGTTTTTGAATATACTGAAACATGTGCAAAATTATATCTTCCACGTGCACTGAAAAACAAAGATTACACACTTAAGAATTCCTTGCATTCTGCATCTTGAAAAAAAATTCTTCACCTAAAAATAGACTAAAAAAAATTATGAAAAGTCTTTAACCTTGGTTAATTAGGACTTGATTCAACAAGGTATTTAAGTATGTGCATGGTCCCAGTGCAGAAGTCAACCTGTCTATTTACATGCTTGAAATGAGGCATGTGTTTAAGTACCTTATTGAACCAAAGCTTTATTTTCTATATAATGCTTTGAACCTGTTAATTTTTCTCTGTGTGTAAGCATTATTATTTCAATACAGATTTATATGGTATGAACCATCCAGCATGTACAGTAAGAGTTTATGATATTTGGGGAAATTATTAATTGTTAATAATTCATAATTAAATAAGAAATTAATATCAAACATTTCTTTTATGAAATGGTCTTATTCAATACACTCATTTACAGTTGATTTCTGACTCCTTGATAAACAAAATGCCTGTCAACTTATTAAGAGGATCAGTGTCCAAAACACTTTTACAGGGCACAGTCATGTATCAGAACAGAAATGTATTCAGCTTGCAAGTTATTAAATATAAAATTAGACTCTTTGGATAAGAGAATAAAAGCCAGAATGCATCTTGCTTTCTAATAGGGGAGATTGAAAAACAGTTCTTCACTTACAAAGCCCTTCCTCTGTCAGGTCCACGTTAATGATGAAGAACATGAAACCTCTAGCACCTTCTTTCTGTCCTCCAACCAGAGTATTTACCCAGCCTATGAAATTAAGAAGAAAATATATTGCTAAAAAAATGTGTTCATTTATGCTGTTTCTCTAAATGTTTTTGGTGATAGTAATTTATTTACACACCGTACGCACTCTGAAAAAACATTTGCGTCAAACAACTTATATGCGGAGTACCTATTACATAGACAAGTTAAAAGAAGGATTAAATAGACACAATATTATGAGACGCTGAAGAGGATGTGTGCATGTAAACTGTAGTCCCCTTGCCAGTTTGGAGGCTTCAGAGAAGCAGCTCACAGGAGCTACCACAGACACTATCCCATTCAGGGAAAAGATCCAGGCAGTTTGCCCCAGCTGATGTGGAAGATGTCAGGTGATACTGGCAGCGGTTGATGGCTGCTGGCCTTACCATCAAGTCAAGAAGACAGTATGCTTCTCCCATTGTATTCACCAGGAAGAAAACCAGTATGCATGCAAATCAACTACTGGACACTCAACAAGAGGACTACTCTGTCCAATACATGATGTCATGAGTGGATGATTTTGGATTGTCTGACTGGGTACAAATGGTTCTCAGTTCTGTATTTGCACTGTGTCTATTACTAGATTCCAATGGGGGAAAGAGTTCAAGGAGAAAATTGCCTTAATTTGTCCACTAGATTCTACCAGTTTAAGCACATGCCCCAAGACATCCCAGGTGCCCCAGCCACATTCCAGGGACCGATGGAGAAGGCAGGGAAAGACTGATAGCAGTCTTGGTATAGCTTGATGACTTGGCTGTATTTAAGAGCACCCAGAGAAGCATGAAAATTTGGCTCATGAAAGTCCATGATCGGCTAAAAGCAAGTGGGTTGAAACTATAAATAGTAGGGCTGTCGATTAATGGCAGTTAACTCATGTGATTAACTCAAAAAAATTAATCACGATTAATGGCAGTTTTAATCACACTGTTAAAAAATAGAATACCAATTGAAATGTATTAAATATTTTTGATGTTTTTCTACATTTTCATATATATTGTATTCTGTGTTGTAATTGAAATCCAAGTGTATATTATTTTTATTACAAATATTTGCACTGTAAAAATGATAAACTAAAGAAATAGTATTTTTCAGTTCATCTCATACAAGTACTGTAGTGCAAACTCTGTGTCATGAAAGTGAAACTTACAAATGTAGATTTTTTTTGGTTACATAACTGCACTCAAATGAAAACAATGTAAAACTTCAGAGCCTACAAGTCCACTCAGTCCTACTTCTTGTTCAGCCAACCACTCAGACAAACACGTTTGTTTACATTTATAGGAGATAATACTGCATGGAAGCATATCTTCTGGAATGGTGGCTGAAGCAGGAAGGGGCTCATGAATGTTTAGCATATCTGGCACATAAATATCTTGCAATGCCAGCTACAAAGTGCCCTGCAAATGCCTGTTCTTACTTTCTGGTGATATTGTAAATAAGAAGTGGGCAGCATTATCTCCTGCAAATGTAAACAAACTTGTTTGTCTGAGCAATTGGATGAACAAGAAGTAGGTCTGAGTGGACTTGTAGGCTCTAAAATTTTACATTGTTTTATTTTTGAATGCAGGGGTTTTTTTTAAATAAATTCCACGTTTGTAAGTTCAACTTTCATGATAAAGAGGTTGCATTACAGTACTTATATTGAATATACTTTTTCTTTTGTTGTTTTTACAGTGCAAATACTTGTAATCAAAAATAAAGTGAGCACTGTACACTTTGCATTCTGTTTTGTAACTGAAATCAATATATTTGAAAATGTAGAAAACATCCAAAAATATTTTAAAATGGTATCCTATTATTAACAGTGCAATTAATCACACGATTAATTGTTTTAATCACTTGACAGCCCTAATAAATAGATAAGTGCCAATTTTACCAACTCATGGTGAAGTACATGGGACCACATTGTATTGGACAAAGGATTTGCAACAGATACAGCAAAGATGGAAGCCCTTACCATATAGTCTCAGCAAAAGGACCTGAAGGGTCTGCAAACATTCCCAGGGTTCTGTGGGTACTACAGGAGATTTTTGAAGAGCTACTCCATTGTGGTAAAGCCACTTAGTTGTATGACGTAGTGTTACCCACCCACTCAAAGAAAAGGGAAGACTATCAAGAAATCATCTGTCAGGGTGTATTACTGTGCGTCTGAACCCTTTGGTGATCAGTGGGATGCATACTAAACAAGCCTTCAAAAGAGGGCATCTACTGACTAATGCACCAGTATTAGCCTATGCCGATAGCCTTACATCCTACATACAAATGCCAGTCTTAGTGGGCATGAAGCTGTGCTTTACCAGGAGCATCCAGAAGGATAACATTGTATAGCCATTTGCTAGCCAAAGACCGTTGGACTCTGAGCAATGGTATCCTGCTCACAAGTTGGAGATCCCTGTGCTCAAGTGAGCAATGGTAGAAAAGTTTCAGGACTAGTTCTATGGGGTGAAATTCCAAAAAGCCAGAATAGATAACCCGCTGACCTATGCGCTCATTACCACAAAACTGGGTACAACAGGATAAAATGGAGTGTCTGATATAACAATATATGACTTAAGCCTGAAGTACCTTCTTGGGAGTATAAACATTGGTGCGGACACTCTGTCATGTAGACCACAATAGAACATAGACCGGTAACAGAACTACCTGAGAAAGGTGACTGGACTGAGGCATGACTGACTGTCTAGTTGTTGTATAGACATATCCAAGAGGACAGCCCCTCTCATTACTATTACTAGTGTAGGAGGAATAGAGCTAGTCTGTATGGACTCTCTCTCTCTCTTTGGAAACAGACTAGGAATATTGGGAATACTTTGGTCATCACTGACTACTTTACAAGGATGCGCAAGCTTACCCCTCAAAGGATCAACTTGCATCCACTGTTGCCAATGTATTGTAGGAAGAATACGCCAATGTATTGTGCATTATGGGTTACCTACCAGAATACACACAGACCAAAGATGAACTTTTGAAAGTTGCCTCAGCAAGAGCTGCTACATGTCGTAAGGGTAAAAAAACCCCCAAAACCTGGAACACTACCCCTTATTACCCATAGGGAGACCTTCAGAAGAGGTTCAACTGCATGCTGTTAAAACACATTGGGTACACAGGACTCTCAACAGAAACACAGTCAGAGTCAACGTGTCTCATCTTGTATATACCTACAATTATATGCATAATGAAGACACTGGACACTCAGCTTATTGACCAAACATTAGAAGCTATCTACCTGTAAAACTTTGTTTTGGCATTTCTGCTAGTGGACTCCTACTCGGAGTAGTAAAGTCATGTCAGGATACATGGACTTCACTGTAGAGGCCAAAAAGAGTGTCCTTTTATCACTGCTAACAAAACATCCTTCAATCATAGATCTATCCTCTGAGCACCTGAATGTTGGATTTAGTCAACTGTGGTAAGGAAGCAATGTACAGGCTGGTGAAGTAAACATATGCAAGAGGAATAGCTTCTGGTTGTATCCCCAACTGGCCAATGTTATGCCCTATGTTGGCAGGTGTGGGGTATCCCTTAAAGATTACTATCTGGCCCACGGCCCTCACTTCAGATGGAGACACATCAGTTCAGTATACTACCTTCAACAGACTACCTGTCTAAAAGAACAACTTCAAAAGACATACCATGGCCACTTCTGCTGCACAACAAAACAATCATACTAACAAAGGACTCTATGACCCCCAGGCCAGAGACCAAGAATTGCATAAAAAAAACAGAGTCCTCACCAGGAATCTGCACATTTCTGGGACACACAAAACTGCAGAAAGGTGGAAGGCTGAGCCACACATAGTCAAAGAGAAAATGCCTGGCCTGCCAGTCTGTCAACTCAAGCTATAGAAAGGAATGGGTCCCTCTAATATCCTGCACAGAAGTCAGATCCTGACAATAGGACTCTTGGTGAAGATACCAGTCAGGACCTCGTCACATTCATCTATTGTCACACAACAGATAATAGATCAACAATGCCCTCATATTATCACTCCTTGCAACCTCCACCTTTTCCTGAGAGGTCAGCAGAAGACCATCAGTTACCCTATGCTGTTGCTCCTTCTGATTCAGGAAAGGAAGACATTGGCCACACAAACCTGCAATTTACTTTGTTGCTCTTAGACAGATTAATTACCCATTCATTTGGCATTCTTGACTCCTTTG